TCTGCAGAGGGTTTTATAGGCTGGGAAAGGGAGAACAAAATTAAAGGAATTATTAGTATTACCCAGTATCTGGTAAAAGTTCTGGCTGGCAAGCAGGATATATTAATCAAATATTTATTGAGCACCCACTATAAGCCACACATTGGGCTAAGAACTGTTCTGGGTCCAAGGTGGGGGGTGCAGCAGTAAAAACAGACAGGACCTCTGTTGATCTTGACTAAACTCTGTTTTATGAAAATCCAATAAATGGAGGTCAAGCTTAAGGGGAAAGAACCTCAAAATCTCAAAGCCACTGAGTACTTGTGAAACTCTTGAAGGGTCTGCTGATCTGCCAGACACTGTTACCTATTTCTCTGCTTTGGGCTTTTGTCATGTTATCCAGGGTCTTAGCCGGGGTCTCAGCGGGAGCAAAGGCCTTGTGCTCAGGGTGGGCCCGGAGGATATGGAACTAACTTACCTAAAATATTCTCACCAACCAAGGCTCTCACTCACCTGCAGCAAAGGGAGCCTGCCCCATGGCAAGCACCTTATGGGACACTCTGCTCTGACCCCCAGCAAAGTAAGACCAACGTGACACTTGAGCTGGTCCTGGAAAAATGAGTAGGATTGGAGAGGCAGATCTCAGGCTGTGTCAACAATATCTGCAAAGGGACAGGCTGTTAAAAGGCCACAGCACTCCCCATGTCTAATAATACTATCAGTGAGTTATCAGAATCTGGGAAGAAGCCGGAGACCCTGTGCTAAATTCCTGGCCTCAGCCCAAACCTGCAGCTTGCCTCCTTGGCTATATGACTCTCTCTTCCTTTACATAAGGCCATGATCAGCCAGGATGACTCACACCTCAAGAGCCTGCCCAGGTTCATGCCTATTTCCATCACATCACATCGTCCTTGTCAAGCTTTTGCAGGCTGGGTGGTGCATGGTTTCCTTGGAACAGTTTTCTGATGGCTCCATGGTCTTGGGTCCTGCCATGTAGAACCCATCTGGGACCAAAGCATATGCATCCCCTGATCTCCTAAATGTGTGTGTGCTGGGCAGGACAGAGACCAACATGAGAGTGGCTTGGACAAAAAGAAGAAGCTGTATTTCCTTTTCACATAGAAATCAGAGCAGTAAGAGGACCAGACCCATGCTTCTCAAACTGTAGTATGAACATGAATCACCTGGGGATCATGTTAAAATGCAGGTTCCTGACTCCCTGGGCCTCAGTGGGGCTGGAGAGTCTTCATTTCTAACAAGTCCCCAGGCGATGCTGAGACTGCTGGGCTGCAAGCCACACTTGGAGTTACAAGGCCCTGGTACGCTGATTCTCAAACTTTGCTTGCAACTGTAAAGCTTCCCATGCTCAGGCTTTCCCCCATATGATAAAATCAGATTCTCTGGAGGGTGGGCCCCAGACATCAGCACTTTTTATGTTCCTCACACAGCGGTCACTGGTTTATAGCAATGATCCAATCGTGCTAGGCACAATGTCCTTCAGGGGGCAATCTATAGGAATTTACATAGCTTCAGGCATTGACACACAACTGGAAAATTCAAAACTTGAAGTCCCCAAGTCAGTTCGAGTAAAATAAAATCTGTGTCTTGCGCTTCAGCCCATTTGGTCTGAACCAGGTTTGTCAGTTTGACCATACACACTCCATTTTACATCAGCTCAGCTGTACTGACTTCATCTTTTCTTCTCTCATTCCTCAGTGGGTGTTCCCCAGCCTGGGCCAACTTCTGCAAACTCTTTAGCTTTAGTTCTGGCGGGGAGGAGTATTTACCTGCTGATCATTCCCCTACTTGGGACACTTCAGCAGTAATTTGGACTGGGTTTTATCCTAAGTGTTGTTAAATTTGTAAGGCTTTACATTTGGACCAGCAATATGCATGCCCTGATCACTCTTCACAGGAAAGGGCATTCTAAGAGTGTGAACTGAGTCCTTTTGTCCATTGTGATTCTGTCGGTCTTGGTCACAAGCATTCTTTTAGCCACTGTGAGAAGGTGTACCCAAACGGGAAAGTATATCAATAAGAATCTGAATAAACTTGACCAGAATATTACAAAGGCCCCCAAGTGGGGGAGGATGATCTGCTTCCTTTTTCTTGGTTACAGCTCTCTGTCTTTTCTTTCCAGGGAGAACTCCCTTGTCCTTTGTTCTCAGTGGCTCTTGGCTTTGCCTTCTGAGAAGTTCTTATTCATCCTCCTGAGTATCTTGGAGAGTATCTCCCTTTTGAGGTTGCACAACTTCCATACCCAGCTTCCTCCTGGTTAGACTTTGGATCCTATATTTATATGAGGGGTCAAATGCTTACAGAATTTTGGAGTCCAGGCTTGTGTCTTCTTGGCAATACAATTCTCTCAAACCTTAGTAGGTGTTATGGATTGAATTGTGCCTCTCTAAAAGATATGTTTGAAGTCCTAAGCCCTGGTATCTGTAAATGGGAACTTATTTGGAAATGATTGTTGCAGATGTGCAGATGTAACTAGTTAAAGTGAGGTCACACTGAACTAGGGTGGGTCCTTTATCCAGCAAGACTGTTGTCCTTAAAAGAGGAGGAAAAGAGATATGGAGAGACACACAGGGAGAATGCCATGTGACAATGAAAGCAGAGAGTGGAATGATGTTTCTGTAAGCCAAGGATTGCAAGCAACACAAGAAGCTAAGAGAAAGGCACGGAACGAATTCTTCCCTAGAGGCTTTAGGCAGACCATGACTCTGCTGATATGTTGATTTTTGGACTTCTAGCACCCAGAACTATGAGAGAATAAATTTCTGTTGTTTTCAGCCATTTCAGTTTGTGATACTTAGTTATGGCAGCCCTAAGGTAATTAGTAGAGCAAGCTTATGATCTATTTTCTTCTAGCAATTTCCGTGGGCAAATAACCACAGCCATAGATTTTTGTCTAGTGCTACCTTGTGCAACAGAGTAGCCATAAGCTCTATATGGTTATTTAAATTTAAATGTAAATGAAATAACAATTCAGCTCCTCAGTTGCATTACTCACATTTCAAGGGTTCAATGGCTACACGTGGCTAGTGGCTACTGCATTAGACATTACAGACTGTAGAACATTTCCATCAAGTCAGAAAGTACCAACTGGACAGCATTGATCTAGTGTATCAGCCAGTTTTCTGCAGCAATAATGCTGCATAACAACCTCCAAATTTTAGTGGATTATAAGAACAAATACTTTATTTGTTCATGGGTCCATGGGGCAGGTCAGCTTTAGGTTGCAGGTCAGCTGAACCTGGCTCCAGGCTGCATTTTGGGTTCAGGTCCTCTCTATGTATCTCTCTTCCTCTGTAGACTCTGGACATGCTCTTCTCATGACTAATAGCAGGAGTGCAAGAGGGCAGTCTAAACCACACAAGCACATTTAAAGTCTCTGCTTGGATTACATTAGGTTAACAGTCCATTGGCTAAAAGCAACTTACATTGTCAAGACCAATATCAGTGTCAATAGAGAGAGGTACTACAAAGTCACATGGCTGATTGTATGGATGCACGATCCTATTAAATGAGGGAAGAACTGGGAATAATAATGCAATCTACCTCACTCACACATAGTGCTTATTTTTTTCTGAAAAGGTTATACATTCACATGGTTAAAAATTTTAAAAATGTATCAGAATGCATGCAGTAAAAAAGTCTCTCACACCTGACTCACCCACCTCATGCCCTCTTTAAAGGTAAATTCTTTTTATTAGTTTGTCTATCTTCATGAAAATATAAGCAAAAATATCTGTATTTGTTTCCCCCTCCTTTCGTAAAAGCAGTTCATTGTACACTGTATTGCCTTCACTTATTTCTTTAAAATATGTATCTTAATGATTTTCCCATATGGGTATACATAGATATAGTTCTTAAACTTACATTCACTTACATTTACTTGCCTCTGTGTTGTGCTTGTCTCTGCTCTCTTAGCTTAATGATAGATACCTTCAGATACATGTCTGAAACAATGGACTGTGTTGGAAAGCAACACTTCTAATCTGATTTTGTGACTAGGCTAGTTTTCAATCTGGCATAGGACTGTTCATAGAGGTTCTTGAGAAAGTTTGGGGTCTCATCTCTTGCTCAGGATGTTTATTCACTGTCACTTTTTATAATGAACTTGCTTTTATCTCTCAGACTTAAGTGTTCTAGAGCTGGGAGGGTAGAGCCAAGGTGCTGCTCTAATTCTTGTTATCCTCTTAGCTAGTGGAAGAGGAAATGGGGTGGGGGAAGAGTGTGCCCAATCTTTTTAGAGCTAAAACTTGGGAGCTGGGGTATGCACGTCACCTCCATTCCCACAGAGGAAGTTATGCCACTAAAAGGAAAGGAATATACACGTAGAGAAACAGCAGTAAGTTTTTTAATGTTTGAGGGCTCCTGTTAGAGGGCAGTCTTTGGGAGTTCATAAATACATACAGCTGTCTTAAAACTTTTTACTGTATTATAAAATATAACAGGTGCATGAAAGTGCACATATCACAAATGGACAATTTGATGAATTTTCACCAAGTGAACACGCCTGCGTAGAGAGCGCTCTAGTCAAGAAACGGAACAGTTAGCAACCCATACTTCGCGTTTCCTTGACTGAGAAACTAAGGAGGCGGAGAAACCATGTGGAGGCGGAGCCAAGGGCGGTTGAAGGTGAGTTGCCCCCAAATAGGGCGTGGCTAGGCGAAAAGGCGGGGCCCCATGGAGCTTAGCGCCTAGTCTGTGAAGCCAAGGGGGCGGGGCTTACTGGCCCAGAGTCCCGGTTAGAGCGAAGGGGCGTGGTCAGGTAAGATGTTTGTTCAGCAACGGCAGGCCTTAATGGCCAGGATGGACGGGGCATAGTGATCCCGAAGGTAGCCTGGGCCACGAGGGGCGAGTCAGGCGAAGAGGGACGCTGGGCTCAGCGACGAGATGAGGTTTGGAAGCTCTTTAGGACTCGAGCCGCGCGGCATTTTTACGCACGGGGCGGGGCTTCGCGCCGTCTGGGCGGACGCTGCGGAGAAAGGCGGAGCGAACGCGCGTCCTGCAAGATGGCGGCGGCCGGTATCGCTGGGCCGGCCGGGAACGTGTTCCCGTTTCGTGACGCCCGCGCCACTCCAGACCCAGTGCTGGAGGCCGGCCCGGTGTCACACGGGCCACTGCCGGTGCCCCTGGTGCTGGACAACGGGTCGTTTCAGATCCGCGCCGGCTGGGCGTGCCCGGGACCGGACGCGGGCCCGGAGCCGCGGCTCCAGTTCCGCGCCGTGTGCGCTCGCGGGCGTGGCGGGGCTCGGGGCGGGGCGGGTCCGCAGGTGGGTAACGCGCTTGGCAGCTTGGAGCCGCTGCGCTGGATGCTGCGCTCGCCCTTCGATCGCAATGTGCCCGTCAACTTGGAGCTGCAGGAGCTGCTGTTTGACTACAGCTTCCAGCACCTGGGTGTCTCCTCACAGGTGAAGGGTGCGGGGAGGGCGGTGGGTTGGGCTTGAGGGGGCCTTCGGAGAAACAATAGCCATTCCAGTAGCAGTCATTGTTTTGTAGCCATTCATTTAGTCCCTCGATTGAGTACTAAGCTCCTAACGTCCGTAAGTCCTGCGCTAGGTGCTTGGAATACAGCAGTGAACAGAACAGCGCCCCTTTTCTTTTGGAGCGTGCAGTTGGACATATTGCTCGTTTGTTAATAAATTTATTTATTAACCAATATGTATTGAGCACTTAATTCTGTGTCAAACACTCTTCTGGGCGTTTGGAACACACCCGTGAATGTAACCCAAACTTGCGCTTATGGAGTTAGTGTGGACAGAGATTTTAGTACGAAAAGACAGACAATAAAATAGAATTAAGTAGTAGATTCTGTGGCAGTACAGAAGGAGAGGAGAGGGTTATCTTTTTTCAGTAAGATGGTAAGGGTACAACTCAGGAAAAAGGTGATGTTCCAGCAAGACCTTGAAAGGTGATTGAGGGAGCAAGCCATGTGAACATCAGAGCGGGTAGTATTCCAGACAGGAAGCAGCCAGTGAAAAGGCCTTAGGGCAGAGCTCTGCCCTAATCCGAACTCTGGACAGCCAGAATGAGGACTGGAGAGTGGTAAGTGGAAGAGGAAGTCAGAGAGGTAAAGAGGGCCCAAATCACACACCTAGGCTTTTACTGAGTGCAGTGAGGAGTCATGGGGTTGAGCGGAGGAGAGACACGACATTCATTCCAGAGGGATCACTATAGCTAGTATATGGAGAATGGACTGGCATGGGTCATACAGTAGAAAAAAGGAGACCAGTTAGGAGGTTGTCGCAATAACCCCTATGAGAGATAACGGAGAGATAACAGAGGTAGCTGGGAGGTGGGAAGATGGTCAGAAGCCATTGAATTCTGGAGATATTTTGAAGATAGAGCCAAGATGATTTGCTGATAGTTTGGAAGAGGCTTGACTTAATAACCTTAAATTGACCCTATGTTCATATTTTCCAAAACAACTTCCAATAGAGATGAGATGAGTGGTTTACATTTGCTTCTGATCAGATATTTGATTGGAGACCAAATGCAAATTCAGCTCTTGCAATGAGGATTTTGGCATTTTTAAGAAGAGTATTCTTGTATCAACCATCTATTTGCTCTTTTCTTTCAAAGTAGGGCTGTGTTGATCATCCCGTAGTTTTGACAGAAGCTGTGTGCAACCCACTATATTCACGACAAATGATGTCTGAGCTTCTTTTTGAGTGTTATGGGATTCCAAAGGTGGCCTACGGAATAGACAGTCTGTTCAGCTTCTACCACAGTAAACCAAAGAACTTGATTTCCAGTGGGCTCATCATTTCATCTGGATACCAGTGTACGCATATTTTACCCATCTTAGAAGGAAGGTGAGTTGCACTTACAGCATTTGAGTACTCTTGAGACGCATTCAGGAAATAACTTATTGGGTACCTGCTTTAAAGATGGAGTTGAAAGAGCAAGTACTGGACCATAAACTGGCCTCTGGGCTTAGCTCTGACCTCTCTCTCACTTCGTGACTATGGGTAAGCCACTTCACTTTCCATTCTTTGTGACCTGGAACGAGTTGGGGTGGATGATCTTGGAGGTCCAAATCCACAATTCTAGAATTTTGTAATTCTGATTTATGGTGAGATAGCTAACAATACCTGCAGGTACTAGGGGCTCGATAAAAATGTTTGAATAAATTCTTTGAATAAACTTAATTTAGACTGTCTTTGTGTTCAGGAGTCACTTTCTTATTAAGACAGTATTATTTTTATTTAAAGTTCTTTAATCACTGTAGTTTAGAGCTTTTTCAGGTACGGTGTCAGGCACATAACACTTATTAAATATCTTTGAGGTAAAAGGTGAGGGAAGTTTCTGTCATGTTTAAAATCTGTTCTCATTTTATAGTTGAGCTTTTGTTTGATAAGAGACTAGGCCAGTCATGCCCTCCTGAGAAGATTTTGCTCTGAGTAAAAAGGATGTATACGCAGGGAAAGGAGCCTTGGCTTTGGAGTTGAATGCCTGGTTGGCTGCCCTGCTAAGGATGAGGCACCTCACCTCTCCGCGTAGTTTCCTACCATGTACAATTGGGAAGAACTCAGGGTACTGTGAGGATGAAATGAGATAATCGAGATGATGGCTCTTTGTGAACTGCAAAGCAGTCTGACCAGTTAAGTCAAAACAAGTGCCGTGGAGTGTATCGAGCCCTACAGTGGGAAGTTCTCTTGAAGTTTTTACAAAAATTTATGAAGAAAAAAGTAATTCATAGACATTAACAAACATTCCTGTACAGAGTTGTCTGCATTATATAAAACAATATGCAGAAATTAAAAATAATGTTATTTTTATGTATTAGAAAATTATTTTACTGAAGCCTAAGAGATGATCAGATTGGAGCATGTCCTGTTCTATGCCGGCATCTGCTGGTGAGGTGTGATATAGCAGCGACATTTCAATGTACGGCAACTTCCTAGTGCTCTGCTGCTCTTTCTCACATTAAGAAAATGAAGTTACTGTGATGCTCTTCCCCTTCAATTCATGTGAAAGGGACCTCATACTCTTAGGAGACTACAGTAAGCCCATGTATGTGTGGTTACTTAATATGTTTCTACTAAGTGGAGTGTGTTGGGAATGGGGTTCTCAAAGTCTGGCCTACACTGGAGTTACCTGGCAAGCTTGTTAAAATGCAGATTCCCAGACCACCCCAGAGCAAATGAGTTGTGGGAATAGCACATTTAACATTTTCCGCAGCTAATTCTAGGATACTTGGTTCCAGGACCACAGTTTGAAAAGTAGATGGTGAGTCATATCACGTAAGGGTCAGACTTCAGAGTACACGTTCTTCCCATTAAACTGGTTTCCCTCTGAAACTCTTGCCGGAAGTGAGATGGCCACATGTCTGTCTGGGTGTGGGCTAGGAATTCTGCATTGGTTAAGAGGTTAGGCCAAGGGAACCTTGAAGTCCCTTCTAACTGTAAGGTTTTATGTTCTCCCAGCTGGCCTGTTTTTTTCCCCTTTCCTCTACAGTAAACTATCACTAAAGGTGCTCCATATTCTCTTTCATGTTGCCAAAAATCAAGTGCTGCTTTCCATTTCTTGGTTGTAGATTAGATGCTAAAAATTGCAAACGCATCAATCTGGGAGGAAGCCAAGCAGCTGGCTACCTCCAGCGCCTCCTGCAGCTGAAGTATCCTGGGCACCTGGCAGCTATCACGCTCAGCCGCATGGAGGAGATCCTGCACGAGCACAGCTACATCGCTGAGGATTATGTGGAAGGTAACGAAGAGGTCGTTTGCTTGCAGCATTTGGATGTTATCTGCTCTTGGGGGTATTCCTTAAATTGTTCCCAGGATGACTCTTTTGCTCACTTTTTTACTCAGTACTTTTTAGAATCTCCTTCCCCTTTGGGTATTTACTTTCATAAACTATTTAGTTAACTGATAACTTACATACTTAAGTTATTTTCAAAATTGTTTTGGCTATTCTAGTTCATTTGCCTTTCCATGTAAATGTTAGGATTAGTTTGTCCATCCATATTTACAAAAAAGTTTTGTTGGGGTTTTGATTGAAAGTACATTAAATCTACAGATAAGATTGGGTATTAAACAACAACATTCTAAATATAAGTCCAACCCTGGCTGATGTGGCTCAGTGGATTGAGTGCCACCCTGCGAACCAAAGGGTCGCTGCTTCAGTTCCCAGTCAGGGCACATGCCTGGGGTGTGGGCCAGGCCCCAATAGGGGGCACGTGAGGGGCGACCACACATTAATGTTTTTCTCCTTTTCTTTCTCCCCCCTTTCCCCTCTAAAAATAAATAAAATCTTAAAAAAATATATATATATATATATATATATCCAGATATGATATTAAATGCATTGGGGAGAATTGACAGGTTTTACTATATTGAATCATTGAATCTTCCAGCTGATGAACATAGTATGTCTTTCCATTTATTTAGGTCTATTACAGTTTTCAGCATATCGACCCTATACATATTTTATTAGATTTATGCTTACGTATTTATTTCTTTGTTTTTTTCTTTCACTTTTCAGTTGCTCGTTGCTAGTGTATAGAAATCCCGTTAATTTTTCTCTGTTGACCTTGTATCCTGTGACTTTGCTAAACTTAAGTCTGGTTTTTTGTAGATTCTTTGGGGATTTCTATAGGTAGACATGTCATCTGTGAATAGTTTTGTTTCTTTCCAATTTTTTTTTGCCTTTTTTTTCCCCTTACCTTTTTTCATTGGTCATGACTTTCAGTACAGTGTTGAGTGGGAGTAGTGAGAGTGGGCACCCTGGCCTGGTTGCCAGCTCCTTATCCCGGGGTGGCTGGTGGGGAGCATTTAGTCTTTTGCAACTGCGTACGTGATGGTAGCTCTAGGTGTTTTGCAGATGTCTTTACCAAGTTAAGGATGTTTCCTTCTGTTCCTGGTTCTGCTGAGCATTTTTATTATGAATGGATTTCGAATTTTGTGAAAACCTTTTTTTACATCAATTAATACAATCCTCTATGGTGTTTCTGTTTTGGATTGTTCATTATAATGATGGTTTTTCAAATATTGAAGTAGGTTTGATTGGTGCGGGGAATAAACCCACTTGTTCATGTATACTTATATATATTGCTTGATTTGATTTAGTAATATTTTGTGGGATTTTGTGTTCATGAGGAATGTTGATCTGTAGGTTTTACTGCCTTTGTCTGGAGTTGGTATCAGGGTGATGCTAACCTTGTCAAATGAGCTGGAAGATACTCCTTTTTTACTTTCTGGAAGAGATTGTATAAGTAACTGATATTACTGTATTTTTAAAAAATGTTTGGTGGAATTCTCCAGTGGAACCATTTGAGCCTAGGGATTTTTTTTTCCCTGAAGGTTTTTTAAATTATGAATTTAATTTCTTTAATAGACATAGGACTATTCAGGTAATCTCATTAATTTCTTTTTATTATTTTCTTCTACTTGCTTTAGGTTTATTTTGCTCTTTTTCTTTAGTTTCTTAAGGTAAAATTAGCGTATTATGAGGCCATTGTTCTTTTTAATGTAAGAAGTAATTTGCCTCCAGCGCTGCTTTGTCCGCATCCCACAGATTTTGTTATGTTATATTTTCATTTGTATTGAGTTTAGATATTTTCTAATTTCCCTCAAAACTTTGTCTTTGAGCGTTGATTCTTTAGAAATGTGTTGCTTTATACCCAAATTTTTGGAGATTTTCCTATCATCTCCCTGTGATTTACTTTTAGTTTAAGAAGATCAAAGAACTTTCTTTATCTGCTATCAGTTACAGTTGTGAAGGTCTGCTTTGTGGAATGTGGCACACACACTTGAAGAAATAACAGGTATCTGCTGTTGACGGTGGAGTATCCTGCTGTGCCATTTAGGCTCTGTTGGTTTGTGGGATTTTTTAGTTCTCTGTCCCTGTTCATTTTCCATCTACTAGCTCTATTGATTATTAAGAGAAGAGTATTAAAGTCTCTAGGTATAACTGTGGATTTTTTTTAAAGATTTTATTTATTTTTAGACGAAGGGAGGGAGAGAGAGGGAGAGAAACATCAATGTGTGGTTGCATCTTGCACGCCCCCTGCCAGGAACCTGTCCTGCAACCCAGGCGTGTGCTCTACACTGGGAATGAACCCACAACCCTTTGGTTCGCAGGCTGGCGCTCACACCAGCTGGGGCTAATTGTGGATTTTTTTATTTCTCCTTTCAGTTTTGTCAGTTTTTGCTTTCAGGTATTTAAAGCTCTTTAGTTAGGTACCTGTCTAGGATTCTTATGTCTTGGCAAATTAACAATTTATCATTATATTGATACAACGTCCCTTTTCATCCTTGGCAATTTGCTTTGCTTTGCAGTCCATGTGGACGGTAATAGAGCCACTCCAGCTTTCTTATGATTAGTGCTTGTGAGGGCTGTCTTTCCAGTCTTTTCCTTTTCCTATAATCTGTTGTCTCAGTCTTTATTGTTAATTAGTATGGTAAGATGATTTTAAATTGATTTAATTGTTCATATATTTGGATTTAGGTCCACTATTTTATTATTTGTTTTCTGTTGTTCCTTCTTTTCTGTTGCTGCCTTCTTTTGGACTAGTAGAACATTTAGAAATTTTGGTATCACACTTTATCTGTTGTGTTTTTTTACTGTATCTTTCTGTAGTTTTTTTCTGTGGTTGCTCTAGAGAATAAAAGTTACAGAGTCTACTTGAAATCGCTATTTTGCCACTTCAAGTGGAATGTGGCAATGTTAGCATGCTGGAGGCCCCTTTATCTTTCCACCGTTTTGCTGGAGTTGTCTTATATGATCATCTGCATACATAGGGAATCAGGCAGCGTGATGGTTTTTACTTTTAATTGTCAAACATTTTAAACTCCAGAGGAGGTTAGTCTGTTATCTTTAGTCAGATTTTCATCATTTCTATTTCTCTTCCTTCCTTCCAGATGTTTTAGTTTTCTTTCTGGTATCATTTCTGTCTGAAACCTTTATTTAGCAGTTGTTTAGAACGGGTCTGTGAGCACTATGTCCAGGTTTTATAGTTGCATTTTGTTGATTAGATGGTTCAGGGATTGGGTGGCATGTGCTTTTTTTCATCTGACCGGGACCTAGAACCCTAGTGTTGACTTTTTCATTTCTCTGCTAGTAGTGTTGCCCTTTCATAACTTTCAGTTATTTCTTTGAAGAATTGCAGAAATGGCGGTGCCCTGACTACTATGAAAACAATGTCCACAAGATGCAGCTCCCATTTTCCAGCAAGCTTCTGGGCAGCACGCTGACCGCTGAGGAGAAGCAGGAGCGGCGGCAGCAGCAGCTGCGGCGGCTGCAGGAGCTCAATGCCCGGCGGCGGGAGGAGAAGCTGCAGCTTGATCAGGAGCGCCTGGACCGACTGCTGTATGTGCAGGTACCAGCACATCCCGACGGGCCCTTGCTCAGCAACGTGGTCGCAGAGAACGCCCCTCCTGTATACTCTTCCTTACCTGTAGGACACATCAACTCAGTTGCCCTTGGGATCAGGGAGTTTAAGATCATCAGTATAGAGGATGGTATAGCAGTAGGTGTTTCTAAAAAAGCTGTGGACTCTGGCTTTATTGATTTATGTGGGCCATATAAATTCCTTTATTTTATTTTTTAACTTTTTAATTTAAGCGTGGCATACACCATGCACAGTGCACAGATCTGATGTGTGCGACATGTGTATTTTCACAGTGTGAAACACACCACGTATCTGCTCTCCAGACCCAGAAAGCGAGCATAACCAGCAGCCCAGCAGTCTCTCTCGTGTCTCCTCTTGGTACCCTTCCCATCCCTCCCCACCCAAACGATAACGTTTCTGATGCCTTTCACATAGGTCGGCTTTGCCTGATTACACGGTGCTGAAACCCGGATACAATGGCAGCCGAGAGGCAGCTGGGGGAGGATAGCTGTGGGAACCTTTGGTGGGGGGAGTGTGATTTTGTGGGGGGTAAGCTGGGGAGCTCGGGGAGCCCTCTCCTGCAGTCGCCTTCTCTGTTTGGCTCTGAGCGACTTCGCTTTCCTTCCTGTTTGTGATTGCACTGACTCTGAGGGTGAATTGTGACTGTTCCGGTTTCAGGAACTGCTCGAGGACGGCCAGATGGATCAGTTTCACAAAGCTCTGATAGAGCTGAACATGGACTCCCCGGAAGAGCTGCAGTCCTACATTCACAAGCTCAGTTCGGCCGTGGAGCAAGCCAAGCAGAAAATCCTCCAGTCAGAAGTCACCCTCGAGGTGGATGTGGTGGACAACAAGCCTGAGGTACCGAGGGCTGGCGAGGGAGGGCCTGTGGGGTCATTTAGAGAGAACAGCCCTTCCTGGGGTGGGAGGGGTGTTTTGAGAAGGTTGACATAAAAGGGGCTGTGACCAGACTTGGGGCAAAGAGCTGGTGTAGCGACCGATGTCAGAGGTGCACTGACAGGGCAGCGATAGCACTGACTTGTACCCACTGAAGCTCTGCCGCGAGCAATTTCACCCTGTTGACTTTGGCTCCCCAGGGAGGGCAAAGGGTCTGTGTAGAGTAGAAAGAACATTCCTATGCCAATTGTGTGGTGCTGTCTAGAGCCTGAACCTGCTCCCATGATGGTTCTTTGGCAGTTAGTCATACATTCGCCTTAGCTTTCTTTGTTGATGTGGCCAAGAGGGCGGGGGTCGGGGTTGAGATACAGGGCCCTGGGTACTCCAAGCCCTAGCTGTGGGCCCTGCGTGACGGAGGGGCTGCCCACAGGCTGCACCTCGGCCGGGAGGCACTGGTAGGCTCTCCTGTCTTTAGAACTGGAAAAAAGTGTTAGTGAGTGTACTCGTTGGTCCTGAATCTGTCATCTCTAGAGTTCTAAAACAAAAGAACTTGTTCGTTGCTTTGTGGCACTTCTGGGGCAGGATTAACTAGTCTAGTGTATTGATTTTTTGTTTTTAAATCAAATTACTTTAAATCTAAAACCTACACTTACAAAGAAACAGTCCTGCAGAAAAGTCCAGTTGGATGCTGAGTGCAGTGTGGCGCTGGCTGGTGGCTTCAGAGCTCTCTGGCTCAGCATGAAGCTGGCATTTTTAGTGTCCGGCTCACAGCTGGGGGCCCACTCAGTTCCTGCTCTCACCTTGCACTCTCCACCCCGTCTGGTGGGCTGTAGACGACAGGAGGGCAGCCCCTGGTCACGAGCATGCATGGTTGACAGAGCAGACCCTGACTTAGGTGTCCTAGCTACAGCCTACTGGCTCGCTGAGATCTTGGATCGAGGGGACCTTTTCTACCATCTTGCTCACGCATCAGCTTTGGTAGAACCAACATGCATTTTCTAGTTTGCTTTTCTGGGTTGTCAGATCTGTGTTTCAGTTTTGAGCTCTTCTTTACTGGGATCCAGAACCAAGTGGCCTTTGTTTTTTTTTCATCTATATTTAGTTGTTTCCACACTTAACATGTCATCAGGACATTAGCATCCTTACACCAGAGCTGTGCCCCAAGCCACCGGCATGTGAGGGATTGCAGATTTGAAAAGGAAAAAGGAAAAAGAAAAAAAAAAGACAACTTTGAAGATGTGATTCTTCTTTGTTCATTTTTCTGCGTTTGTTACATTCTGTGATTCAACCACTCCTTCATTCATTCAACAGATACTTCTTAAGTCTCTACTTTGCTCTGTGCTCAGGGGTACATATTCACATCTCTCTGGGCTTAGGGAGATTTTGAAACATCAGACTTTAAGATTTCTCTATATACAACAGATCTGATTAATTGATCTGTCCCCAGAGCTTTATTAATAAGCGTTATTTAAGGGTGATTGTTAGTGACCAGAGTACATTACAGTAATCTTCTAGGGAGGAATTTGACCATGACTGTGGCTGGCCAGTTCTACCTTTCAGAAAATATTTGTAGTATTTTCTAACTATTCATTTAGAATGGAGGGAATAGATTTAGGTGGACCCAAGGTCATATTGAAATGCCATCTAAGCAGTAATGAATGAATTGGATTAATACAGCTAGATGTTTTAACTTAGTATTTTCGAAAATCCATCTTTTTCCTACCGACCAGTCCATTCCGGCCTTGCTAGTCCGCAACTGTCCCGAGGAGGATGTGGTAAAGGAGTAGGCTCTGCTAGCATTCCTAGTGAGGTACTGAAACCAGAAGATGCCCCTCTCACAGGCTTAGAGCACCGTCATTTGTTGAACACACAATGGGCTCGACATGGAAAGGCCCCTTGCCTGACAGCCAGGCTCCGAGCTGGCCTCTGCCTGTCCTTGTGCTTTTCTAGGCAGCTGCGCTGTATCTTTTCTTTTGTTCTTTAAAAGATTTCTCTATATACAACAAGTTTGATTATTTGATCTGTCTCCAGAGCTGCTTTTTTGGTTAGAGATTTTATTGATTTATTTTTAGAGAGAGGGAAAAGGAGGGAGAAACAGGGAGAGAAACATCGCTGTGAGAGAGAAAGATCGATTAGTTGCCTCTCATACACTCCCTGACCGGGGACCAAACCTACAACGCAGGCATGTGCTCTGACCAGGAATCGAACCTGTGACCTTTTGGTTTACAGGATGACCCTCCCACCAACTGAGCCACTCTGGCCAGGGCTCAGGAAGCCTTTTGAAACCCCAACATTTTATAATCTTCTCTATTCCAGGGATATGGGAGGGTGTATCGCAGGTGTCTCCCACTCAGAGCTAGGCGTGGTAAGCCAGGGACTAAGGGTGTAGAGGAGACTAAGCTATTGTTCCTGCCCTTCTTGGTGCCTCAAAAAAAAATAGGACTGTAGAATCATACTTGGGAGGCTGTAATAAAGCTTGTCAGGTATGGTAGGTCTGTGGGGAATACAGATGGAGTGTTAAGAAAAGATTGGGATATTTAATTTGGGTCCCGAAAGGTTATTTGATTTCCGTAAGTAGCCAATGAAGAGAGAAGGACATTTTAGACAGAAAGAACCACATAGGCAGGGAGCATGGCTAGTCTGGCATGTAGAATGTGGAGATGAAGTGAGGAAGGGAAGTGGGCCAGGCTATAAAGGTCTTTTTTTTTTTTAAATCCTCACCCAAAGACATTCTTCATTGTTTTGAGAGAGAGAGAGAGAGAGTTGCTTCCTGTATGCATCTGGAGTGGGGTTCAAACCTGCAACCCAGCTATGTGCCCTGACCAGGAATCAACCTACAGCCCTTCAGTTGCAGGGCAGTGCTCCAACCAACTGAGCCGTACCTGCCAGGGCTATTAAGGTCTTTATCAATCAGCCTGGATAGTATCCCTCATATAGACAAAGCCTTCAAAGTATGTTGAGCAAGCAGGTAATCTGATGAGATTTTAATATAGGAAGATAACTGGTGGTGGCTAGGATGGTGGGTTTAGGGAGAGGCAAGGCTGGAGGTGGGAAGAGAGGATAAAAATGTGTTGCAGTTTGACCTGAAGCTTGTCTTGGGGGTAGAGGATGGAGGAAGACACACTTCAAATATAGGGTCCGAAGATCTTGGTGCCAGGTAGGGGCAGAGGTGACAATGACTGGCGATAACAGAACACATGACATGTGCCAGACCTGGTGCTGAGCCCTTCTACAGCTGTCACCTTGAGTAAGTACTGTCATCACTCCCGTTTTATGAATGAGGCAAGTGAGACGCAGGGGAGCGAAGAAGCCCGCCCGAGGTTGCGCCGCGGGAGGTAGTGCCGCTGAGACTCAGACGCGGCCGTCCGGCCGCAGGCTCACTCCGGTCACACTGAGGCCATATGGAAAGGCAGTGGTTGAAGGTAGGGCCTTCGACCATATCTTAAAGTCTTTGTGGGACATCATGATTTACAGAATTTCAGCTAAAGGCAGAGCAAAGACTTCGGAGCTAAGAAGTTCTGTTTTAGGCCAGGTTTCCACCACTTTACTAGTGTAATGTGGCCTTAGGCAAGTTGTCAAACCTGAGCCTCGGTTTCCTCCTGCACACACGCCTGTGCCAGTAGCAGGTGTCCCTGCCGCTGAACTGCATTCAGTTTTGGTGGCGAAGTTCTCACCTCCTTCACCAAGGTCAAGGTCCTTAGATTCTTTACTCCTAGTCCACTTTCTTTCCTCCTTAAATTACCTATTTCTACACCAGTTCCACTCATCCTGTTCTCTAGTCTAGAAGGTAAAACTCACCTGCCTTTCATGTGGCAGCACCTCAGATGGCCGAAGGTGTCATCCACAACCACCCCCGACTCCCACCTAACTTCTTTTGTCCAGGCCAAAATTAAAAGGTGTGCTAAGCCCTTTACTGGGGATGTTGCCAGCGTGTCAGGCCGCAGCCAGGCTCACCGTAGCCGAGGAGGAATGCCTGTCCTGCAGGGCTCCATAGATGGGAAGCGCTCTGCCACCTTGGGGACTTTCAGTCACATCGCCTGCTCAATGGACCTGCCCTTAAGAGACTAATGGTTTGTTAGGCCCATTAGTGTTGGCACATATATTTATTAATTATAAAGAGATTAGTTTAATTTTGCTGGTGGTCTAAGCACTCCGTAAGGCACCAGTGGGCCCATCAGAAGACTTCAGAGAAAGGTGGGAGGTGGGGCTTTGTATAAGGAGGAGACGTAGGGGACCAGAGCGAAGCCCATTCCTGGCCTTTCAGTCTTTTAATCCTTGTGGTCATGCATGTTCTTTTTTTTTTTTTAAACAGTTTAGAAAATTTTTCATAGTTTTCGTGAACTTCTTAGGCCATTGGGAGGATTCCGACTCTTTTGTGACAGTGAACTGGTGGAACTAAGGCTTACTACAGCTATAGGACCTGTTCTGTTTCGTTTATTCTGTTTGCAGACCCCGGACGCGGAGCCCCTAGACCCGTCTCTGGAGGACGTGGAAAGCATCAATGATTTTGAACCCCTGTTTTCGGAGGAGACACCCGAAGTGGAGAAGCCGGTCCCCACTGTCCAGGTTGGACCCCTGCGGCCTGGACCATGCTCACGCTTTGAGGCTGTGACATAAATGATCCGGCTAGTCTAGTCTGCTTCTCTAGGGATATTATTTTTTAAAAATCCCAGTTGTAGTTTCTAGAAAGGGGGCGGGGGCTGCCAATACTTAAAACGTCCACAGTCTGGGTTTTTTCCCTGATATCGATTGGGCTTCCAGCACCGAGATCTGTGAATCATAATAGTCTGTCTGATGGAAACATTTGGGCAAGTAATTGGAGACTTTAGACTTGAAGGCTAGCTTTAGTGGTTTAATTCAAATTTAAGCCAGTGTCATTATGCTTCATTCTCATTTGGGTCTACTTCTCTGCCATCATAATGGCAGCCAGAGAGACTGACCCGAGCTGAGGCACACGCAGGAGAAAGCTGGCTCTGCTGTGCAGGGACCAGGGTGCTGAGCGAGGCCCGGGGCAGGAGACCTGGCCTTCCAGTCTCCCTGCTGTTGCTCCTCATGAAGCCTCTTTCCTCTGCTCTTTGGGAACCATTCCATGATGAGGATTTGTAGGTGGCAAAAAGGTAGAAAAATTGAATGATCAAATCAGGAGTGTTGGGGAGAGTTACTCTGGCATGAACGAAGGATAGAAGCTATGTTGGAATAAACAATGCAGTTTGAGGAAACTGGCAACTGGGATGTTTGTCATACGGCCTAAAAATATCTTCTAAACCTTGGGTTTTTAAAGCCCGTGTTTAACTTGGCAGCCTATCATCAGCTGTTTGTTGGGACAGAAAGAATTCGAGCTCCAGAAATTATCTTCCAGCCGTCTCTCCTAGGCGAAGAGCAGGCTGGGATAGCAGAGACCCTTCAGTACATTCTGGACAGGTGAGACTGAAACTTCTTTTCCTTTTTTCCCAAACCAGCTCCTTGGCTTTGAATGGTCGATTCGATGGTCAGGAGTTGGGAATCCCCTCGCTCCCTCCTTCTCACTGACTTGCTGAGCTCAGGTAGTATTCATCTCTCAGCAGGCCCGGCACGTAGTGGGGCTCTGCAATTCTTTCCCAAACATGTAAATGCTCAGAAAAGAGTTTTTTTGATTTGAGGAGCTTAAGAATTTCTTTTGAGTAACACGATGATGTCTATGCATTGGCTGTCATATGAACTTTCACATTATTTAAGACTGGTGGTTGTAAATCACTCTAAAAATTTGTAGATGTAAGTTTTTTCCCTTCCTAGTAGACATTTCTTTAGGCGTTCGCATTTCTGTGAGAGCGCACCTTCCCCTCTGGTTTACACAGGCAGTGTGAGTTTTCATTTCCCTGCAGAATGAGTTTTCATAAGTCAGGTTGGACAAGTAAGGGACGTAACTCTTCGTGCTGTGGCTACTCGTGCATAAACAGGATGGAGGCTTACTCCTGGCAGGGAAGGAAAGCTGTTGCAGCTACTTTCAGTGGCTGTCAGCTTTGTCTGACAGTGGGCGGGAAAGCGGTCAAATGTGTATACGATAAAACTTATTAAAGAGAGCAAGCAGAAGTAGAGAGATGGCCCCTCAGAAGGGAGGCAGGACTTCTTGGGGTGATAGAAATGTTCTACTTGAAGGGCATGGTGATTGATGATGGTAACCGCAGTGTATGAATTTGTCAGACTTCCATCCAAATGTGTGTAAACCTAACCTCAGTGAAGTCAGTTTTTAAAAACCACATGTTAGACACACTGATCATGCTAAGGAGATGAATTGACCAAAGTAAGGTTCTGACTAGATATTTGGCATTCTGTAAAGATACAAATGAAAATTGAAAGTTTTTAATACAACTTTTTGTGCAGATGTTTTCTCTTTCGTACTGAGAGCTTACATTTCCACAGCTACATTCTCTCCTGATATTCAAGTTTGAGGGACTATACCAGAAGGGATCGTTCCTCTCCTAGGTACCCAAAGGACGTTCAGGAGATGCTGGTTCAGAACGTTTTCCTCACCGGTGGGAACGTGATGTATCCGGGGATGAAAGTTAGAATCGAGAAGGAACTGTTGGCGATGAGACCCTTTCAGTCATCTTTTCAGGTACTGATTGTTCATGTTGCCAGCTGTTTTGAAACTAGCATTAATTATTTGTTTTCTGATTGCAGAAGTCAAAAGTAAAGTGTAAATGAGGAAAATTATTTTACAATTTCATCAGTCAGAGATATGTACTGTTAACATTTTTGTGACTTCCCTTCTGATCTTTAATCTGTGTTTAGTTTTCAAAGTGAAATCAGAATCATGTTTTATATATATATTTTAAATTAAAAAAGCAAGACATGCATAGAACGAGATGCAGAGGATACAAAAGAGTGTACATGGAGCATGTCTCTCCTCTCACCTTGCTGCCATGATGAGCCGTGGAGACTGGGCACTGGCAGCATCGTCCTCTGCTCTCATTTCTCCTGAGGCTCATTGGCTACCGTGGCTGGAGCTGCCCTGTATCAGCCTCTGCATCCTCTGTATCCTCTGCCCCCTCTGCTTGCAGAGGGGGATCAGGGCCAGGAAGGCCTTTCCTCTAGGTCGAGTGCCAGCTCCGCTTCCTTCTCCATCTGACAGCTTGTGATCGACGTCTCTGGAACAGGAGGAGAGGCAGCTGGTCCCTCTCTGACCCAGAGTGGCGGGTCTTGTGTTCATAGGTAGCCCACGGCTGCTTATTCTGTGAGGTCGAGTCTGCTGGGGTTTGCATTCTTCTGTCTCTTGGAGAGTGGGGGGCATTTCGACTCAGCTTTGTTTGGAGGGTGCAGCGGTAGTCCTGCACTGTCCTGGAATTCATTTTGTGTATTTCTGGGGGTAAAAGGTAGGGGGCCGTGGCTGGGCCTGCTGAACATTCAATTCCTCGAATCCTAACAGGAGACGGCCTTCTGATGAATGTTCTCTCTGTGTTTCAGGTTCAGCTTGCCTCTAACCCCGTGCTGGACGCCTGGTATGGTGCTCGTGACTGGGCCTTGGACCACCTTGAAGACGATGACGTCTGGATCACCAGGAAAGAATATGAAGAGAAGGGAGGAGAGTACCTCAAGGAGCACAGTGCCTCCAACATCTACGTCCCCATCCACCTGCCAAAGCAGGCGTCACGCTCCTCAGAAGCCCAGGCGGCGGGCAAAGGCTCAGGGGCCGGTGGAGGGGGTGCTGGCGAGCAGGCGTAACAGAGGGGCCCCTCTCGGATCTGGGCCACGTCGGCCAGTGTGACAGGACAGGGGCTGTGCCAGATGTGTGGCCCAAGTCTGTGGTAACTTTGGGCTGCAAGATGGATTTCTCCTGGGGAGAACAGTTACGGGACACGGGGAGTTACCCTGTAAAACTTACCCTTCATATGGGGCTTCTGCGGTGAGGAAACTTTCTGTGACCTTCCGGTGTCTTTGTTGGACCAAGGTGAGCTGTGGTGTCTGCTTTCTACCGCAGTTAATGGAGACAGAGTGGAGGACAGCAGTGTCCTTATTTCTCACTGCATTTTAAAACCCTTTTTGTTTTTTAAAAAAACTGTTTAAAATTTATATTGTCAGTGTAGATCTTCTACATTTACTCAGAAATTGTGTGAACACCCAGCAGGTGGAGGTCTTTCACACACATATAAAAAGGTAATGATTCTGTAATAAGACCAGTGCCCCACAAAACCTCAGGTGCTGCAAATATCCACTGCAAATATCTCCGTCTTCCTAGACATCCTCTTTCAAGTGAGGAAAAAGGGCCCAAAGAGGTAATCAGGCTGTACATTGTCCATCTGGTAGGGGCCTGCTTGGTGCCCACTTCGGAATGGGCAGAAACGGGGCCTTGGTCCAACCTTTGTTCAAACTTTGTTTGCTGGAAACTTTTCCACCATTTGAGGCCTGCCTACAGTTTTTTTTTGTTGTTGTTGTTTGTTTTTGTTTTTTTGGGTTTTTTTGGTCCATGTGTTTGTTGGTTGCTTAATGTCTTCTGGCCTTTCTAAAGAAAGAAATGGACTGGGGAAGGTTACTCCAGTCACCTTTTCAGTTTTGCCATAACCTCACCTTCCATGCACCTTTGAAGCTTCATCTGAAGTGGACAAAGGACCCCTCTCTTTTACGCAAGTTGCTTGGTGAGAATTTTAACTCTCAAACACCCGATAATTGAGCCCAGAAGGCCCCTGAGGTGCTAGTGTCCCATCACGGCACCCACACATTTCAGTCTCAGGGAGCCTCTAGCTCTGATGCCTCTGACGAGGCCACTTCAGAACCTGTTTGCTCAGGTGATTTACCAAGGCGGGTGCCTGTACTCCAGCTCTCAGGGGCCCAGAAACTGAAGGCCAGGAGGGGCGGTGGTGGTCGGGCAGAAGGCAGAAGGCCCAAGCTGCCCCAGGAGCTCCCGGAGCGTTGCTCGTGAGCCGCCGGCCGTCCCTGGCTGGGTCCAAGCACCCACGACACGGTGATCAGCATGAGCTACAAAGAAAGGAGGGTTGTGAAGGAGGCAGGAGCAAGCTCCATGTGGAGACGGTCCATGTCACATTCCAGGGAGAGGGGCCATGTTAACTGCTCTTAGGCCTGGGAGTCTTTTTCCCATAGTCAGCAGTTTAAACTGCCTGAACAGCAGCGGGGAGGCCCAGACAGCCACGGGGGTCTGGCCCTGATGGGGAAGGACCTGGATGGACAGGTGACCAGGACACGCCATAGTCAGCCAGGCGTTCAGTTTGCACTACTCAGTTCGTGTAGACTCGGGCCTGCCGAGGTGGTTTGGGGCTGTGCTGAGGGACAGGCCACAGGGCTGGGCCTTGAGCTCTGATTTCATCTCTAACATGCCACCTTAAACATGCATGTCCTCTCATGCACCTTGGTGTGTTCCGGTCTCCGTGAGGAATCTAATCCCAGCACACGAGGCAGGGTTCCCTTGCCCCTCACACAGGCACCTGCAGAGCGCTCGCCACAGCATCATGAGTTTTATCTCTGCCCAAGGACGGCCTCTCCTAAACTGTAAAGCCTGCCCCACGAGCAGGATACATGTTTCATTCAGCGCGGCGTCCGCAGTGCAGTCCTGGGCCGGGAGGGTACCGAGGGCCCCCAGGGTTTGTGAGGGATGAGCCACAGTGCTTGGTAGGTAAAGGAATGACTACATCTGTGAACAAGGGAAGTCTGAGAACAGTGCGATTGTTTACTGTGTTGAGAGGAACAAATCAGGAGTCCATGCCGCCAATGGCTCTTCTTCGGCCAGGGCGCCCTACTCACCGAGGCACCCCGACCCCACTCTGACCCAGCCGTGACGGCTGCCGGAGAGAAGGTGGGTGTGACTGTGGCTGAGTGCTCTGGGGGAAGCTGCGAAGGAGTGGACTCAGGCCCAGCGTAAGGGTCAGATGCGCAGTGGGTGGCAGGAGGGGAGGGCACGGGAGGAGAGTCGGGCTTGCGGGTCTTCAGGACCAGCTAGGTCGGGGTTTGAGTCAGGGCAGCTCTGAAGGTTGGGGGGCTGCCGAGGGTGCTCAGGGCGCCTCCTTTGGCTAAGATGTGGGAGGGGTGCCTCCCCTGCAGCTCCCATGTTGCCTCTGGAAATCAATAGTTTTGCCAAAGGAATAAGCAAGGTGAAAAGGTATGAAGGTGGAAGTTAAAAACGAAATGTGTTAAAATATGGGCAGAAAAGGCTAAACCAAGAAAAGGAGAAACCAAATTCATAGAAATACAGTCGGCAAAGATTACTTTGTGCCTATGTAAGGGGCTAAGTGAATAAGATGAAGTCTGTCATTACAGAACTTTATGATTAAATCGTTACAGGATAACCAGAAAATGACAGGATTAAGAGACGTATGCAGAGAGACTGGCTGTGTACTGAATACATTCTCCCTTCCTCTTGGCTGCACTGCATTTGCCAGCCTCCCTTGCATGTGGCCATTTGCATTCTGGCTAGTGAATCGGGGCAGAAGAGATGTGCCCCACATCCAGGACTGGCTTCTGTACCCTCCCATAAGAGCACCTCTCTTCTCTTTCCCTATCCACTGGCTGAATGGAGAGCAGTCGAAGGCCCAAGAGGCCTGAAGACCCACAAGACAGACCCTCCCTGCCCTGTGGTGTTGCCTCCTGCCACAAGCCGCCATGGGGAGGGTGGCCCAGAGGACGCCTTGCTTTGGTCTCCAGGACTGAGAGAATCAATTTCCGTTGCTTTAGGTGCCGAGTTTATGGCAATTTACTGCTGCCCCAGGAAACTGACACCGGTGTCCAGGCCTGGGAACGAATGTGAGTGCGGGCGGGAAGTTAAGTCATAAAGGAGCGAACAACTTGCCAATAATTTAGAGGAGTCCTAGCAGTATCAGCACATGGGTGGCAACAAAGGTTCACCCCCAGGTGCGCTGGCTCCGACAGCGAAGGAGTAGAGGGGCAGGGGCTTGCAAAGTGTGCGGGACCAGAGCGGAGGGTCTTGGGGAGGCTCCTCTCCTGGGGGTGAGCGAGGCACCTTGGGAGCCAGAGGCTGTGTAAATGGAAACACAGAAGGGGCCGGCGACAGACTTACTAAAGCAACAGCACTGGAGGAAGCCTGTCTGCAAAAAGGTGCCAAATATTTAAAAAATCTCCCACTAGCACCAGGAGGGGGAGTCCATGCAAAATGTGGCAAGCCACCCACATTCTCTCTGCCCGGCTCCTTGTCTGTACCCTACTGCTAACAGCTGTTTAGGTGAGCCCGGCATCCTCATGTGTGCACATGAACTAAATGACTACTGCATCTTTACAGGGACGTCGTAGGAAGAGACCAAAACCAGAACATTCAAATTTAAACATTTTAGCAGATGAAACATACTTCTTAAAAAAAGCCATTATAGGTAGAAGAAAAATGTAATGCAACATTGCAACATGAATTGAAAATGATTAGACAAGCAGATGCAATGAGACATCACAGAGTATAACGTTGTTACCAAAATCTGATAGATGGCACCCACACAAAACCATAAACGAATCTTGCTTAAAAATAATGAAGTAAACAAGTAAATTATTTACAATGTACCAGCCCATTAAAAAAATAATACATGGTGACTAAATGGATTTTATTCCAGGAATGCAAGCGTATCCGTCAAATCCCAAAGCTCTCAGAGGCTTAACAAAAAGTTTGTTTCTCATGCTGCTTGCCCAGCGAATGTCAGTGCGTGCGTGGGTGTGGGGAATGTATCGTTCCACACAATCACTGCACACCATCTTACGATCCCGCCATCTCAGCACAAAGCAAGGAAACAGAGCAGCAGGAGTCAAGTCCTGGCTCGGAAATGCTTTCACCCAGAAGTGACACATGCCACACCTACTCAGGCTTCACTGGCCAAAGCAAATCATGCAGCCACGTGTAGCTTCTCAGCATTCTATTTTAGCCCCTGTAATTGTGTCTCTCTGTATTGGTGGTTGCTCTACAGATTACAATAGGGATCCTTAACTTATTACGGTCTGCCTTGAATTAATTCTTACACTTCACATGCAATGCAAGTATGTTACCATACATAACTCCGTTTCCCACTTGGGGAATTTGTTATTGTTGTCATGTCTTTTAGTTTATAAACCCCATAATTCATTGATAACGTTTTTTACTTAGTTAACAGTCTTCTGGAGAAATGTAAGAAGATACTCTTATATTTACCTATATGTTCACTTCCTGGTACAAGAAAGTAGGGTGGGAGAACGTTTCCTTGGCTTTAACCCCAGCTTGCGCATTCTCAGGAACGCTGAACAGGATCGGGGCGGGGGGCTCCCCTTCTGGTCCGGGCCTACCTAGATAACCTCTTAGGAATGTTCCAGAGCAAATGAAGTGGGATTCTTTCAATAGCCATCCCTCAACCTGGACACCCTAGAGATGAATTCAGCTGCTTGGCACTTTCCTATAACACTTGGCCAGCATGACATTTTGGTAAAACCCTTGGCTGGGAGTGGGCTGTCTCATCCTGCCAGCCCTTAGGGAGCCTGGGTAACCATCGGGGATGGCCTGGGAGTCAGGGTGATGGTGTCCACTGAGTGTAAAGGAATCAGAAGGCTTTGCCAAACTTGAAAGTGACAAAATTTTATTCAAGGGTCTTAGGATTTGCAAATTGGAAGCAGGTTCTGAGAATGGGGTGGCGGGGGGGGCGGCGGGGAGCCAACGCACCCTTCCCCGGCTCTCTGGGGAGCACCAAAGATGACAGGGATACAAATCTCCCAGAGGCTCTTTACTACATTCAGGGCTGATTTTGGAGAAGGACCCAGTTTGAAAGATCTTCCCGAGAAGCCTGGTTGGGTGAAGAAGTTAAGAGCAGAGGTGTGTCTTGGCAATGTGAAGAACTTTGACTTTGGTGCTTTGTAAACGCTGGAAGACGAGTTGCAAAATTTCTCATTGCCATTTTGTTCCAGTGTTCTGACTTTGAGCTCCGAGGCCTGCTCTTTTTGCTCCCAGCTGATTAATGGAGTTTCAGGGTAGGCCTTGAGAAAGGAGCTCCTCCTGATTGACAGCTCCTAGTGAAGAGAATCTCAGAAGGAAAAGATGTTCCTTCTTCCCCTGCAAGTTTGGAAAAGAGTCTCCTGGGAGCAGCAGACAGCAGGTTCAAAGAGACTCTGCTGATAAAGTGTGGGGCTCTCATCCTGTTCTGATTTTGGTTGCAAATGTTATAGGCAACAAAGGACTCAGTTTTAATGCTTAAAAATAAAATCCTAGCCCTGGCTGGTGTGGTT